TTGAAAAGTATCCACTTCAGCTCTTGCACAACAATATATATATTTACATGCCTTCATCTGTCTCATTAAGAAAGCAGATTTTGTTTGAAATTATCTAACATGAAAAATACTGCTAAGTCTATTCATAAAACAGTATTCTATATTTTTATTTTTCAAACAGCAAGTGACCACATTTAAAATGCATCATTTGCAAATATAAATTATCAAACTATTAGTTTAATTAAAAATAAAGCAAAAACATAACTTCCCTTAGTATCACAATACATAGAAGGGTATTATAAACCCAAAAAGACTAAGTTAACCATAAGAAAACAATAACGTCAAAAGTGATGAAACTCATTAAGTCACTTAATGAATAAATCAGTCTAAGAATACAATACCATTCACCATGATTATGTAAAAAAAAAAGCAAACTTTCATTGTATTATACAGATAAAACAATCCAATCCTTCATGCCACATTTTGTAAACCATGATATAAATTACACTCACAGTCAAATGAACAGGAAGAGTAACTCCCAAAATATTTTAAGTTGCTTTTAGGGCAGAAATAAAGGCAGAAATAGAATCATTTAAAATATATAAAGTTTAACCAAAAAAAAATTCATTTGGTCAAGCCTGCTATCCAAATAGTTTTGTTCCCTGCAAAACTATTTTAGTCTTTTTGTGAGTTATGAAATTTAAATGTTTCTTTTACATATTAAATGTAAGTCATGTGTTGAGCTACATTAAGTCCTTTTATACTTTTATCATTTTGGCCTTAAGACCCAAACATCTTCCATGGACCCACACACACACACACACACACACTCTCACTCTCTTCTTGGTATCAGGAAATTCCTCCTTTCACAGGAATAATGAAAGACTCACACTGATTTCTGTCAGAAACATAAGGAATATGTAAATTCACACTTTCCAGGTTCCTATAAAACCATCTCTCACCTATATATACATACTCCAACCGATGGAATTCAGGCTATGGTCTTTTGTCTGATAATAAAGGGACGGAATAGATGTTGTAGGATAAAGAAATACTGTATAATGATTGAAATAAACCTATTATCCTAAATTTATCTATACAAATTATCATTTTTTATTAACTGAAATACAAAGAAGGCATATGGACTCCAGGAAAATAGCACTATATCAGAAATTCACTGTAACAGTGTTTCACTATATATATCATCAGGTTTTTCATAAGACAATTTCTTCTGTACACTAGATTTTGTACTAATTTCTCTGTCTTCAAATCCATTACATTTCCAGATCCAATTCAGCACTATATAGTATGCCTTCAAAATAAAAGGAAGTCACTTGCTTTATTGAATACCAAGTTCCCTTCCAGACAGTATTTAAAGAAAGACAAGACTACACAGACAAAGTCCAGTATAATTCATTTCTGACAATGAAAATTTCAACCCCTCATACTGTTGCAAAATTCCTCCTACTGAAATGTCTACAATAATAATAATAATAATAATAATTATAATAATAAAAAGCATACATTACATATAAAAGATACCAGTGTACTAAAAGTGACAGAAGTGGACTAGCAAATCCTTCAAAGCACATATTATATAAATGACTAGCATTTAAAAACATTTCTTTTTCTATAAAATGTAGGTCATATACATTTATAAATTGGGGGGGAGGTTCTAAAGCAGTGATGACTGTTCAAATTGATATGCTGCTCTGTACAGTCTAATACCTATTCAATTCAAACTATAAGTTTGACATCTAGTTTATCAGAATAAACCCATCTCATCATCTCATAGCTCATAATTTGAAAAATATGCAACTCAAAGGAAGAGGTGACTCAAAAGTTCACTGTTTATCTGCATATGAAATAAGAAGAGAACTATTCCTTTCTATGGGCGGCCCAAGGCTCATCAGTTCAACATCAGGACTTAAAGACTCCAAATTTATGTAGAGGAAGTGGCAGGAATCAGCACAGAAGCAGAATAGTATCTCTGATCCTTCAGAGACACAGCTATTCCACCTCAGCAGTCTTCCTCGTCTCGCAGAACTGCAGCCAAGCCATTCATTTCTCACTCAAAGTGGACGAAGCCATAGATCTAAACACTGTCCCCTCTGTGACTGAAATTGTGCTCTGTAAACAATGGTTTCTATTCCAGCAGGAGGACATCTGAATTTATTTATTAAAAAATGATTAAGAATATTCATCAACTCAAACAAGGCTATTAACTCCCAAAGGTATTTTTGGAACTTATCCTTATGCTACTTGTCAAGTTAGCACTGTCATGTATTATTGCTTACAAACAGTACATCATCATATGCCTTCTAACAGAGCAGTACTGTGATCAGTTCATATTTACAGGCTTTTCTGTTTGTTTTTAAACAAGCTATAAAAACATTACATACTTTACAGACAATACAAATACTCAAGTCAAACAAATGGAATGCATAACAATAAGAAACGTCATAAAGGAAGACTGACATAAGTCCTTGATTGTCAAGACACATTTATATTTATATATAAACTCTAGCTGTGCAGAATCAAAGATTCAATCATAGGTACATCCTTATTTGATAAATCATATTTACAGCATGATATTGCATAAAAAAATAAAATAATGTTGTTTACACAATATTACCTTTCCATCCATTGGATTAAGGAAAGCAAGAAACAACTCTTAGAAATGTTTGCTTGCCTCAGTTTGTGTTTCCTACCAAAAGATGTAATTTTAAAAAGGAAACAGAAGGTTTTGTATGTTGAGTAGAGCAAAAGCGACTATAAATTTATTTCCCTGACACAAAACAATTTGAACTTGAACAGAAGGTAAAATTTCAAATTAAAGACATGTCTTTTCATTACCAGTAATACTTTCTTAGTGCTTGTCCTTTGCAAAGTGAGTTTCAGCTAAATGCATTACATGCCTAACATAAACATGCATTACCCTAAGTCCAATGAACTTTCAAAGTTACAAGGCTTCATTTTAATAAGACATTTAACTCTAGGAAACTGTAAAATTATTCATTTGCTTCAGTACCAACCATGTAATTTGAAAGTTCACATGTGTACTGGTACCGACTGCATAAATATATTTCTGCCTGTTAACATTTCCAAACGGATTCCCAGGAGCATCAGGATTTTCCCTGTGATTTGTAATGGTATTAAAACAAGCAAACAAAGAATAAAAATCAAAGCTCTCAAAGCCAAGAAAATTTAGTCGGCAAATATACATACGTAATGTAATCCAAAGCTGCAAAATTCAGAGTTCATTCATCCAAATATTCTAGTTCATTTCAAATAGTTACTAGACATGATACAAATTCTACAAAAATATCCTGATCAAGCATGGAATACAACGTATCTGTTCAGGTGGAAAGTTTTCATAGGAGAACAGGAATACTTTGGAATAAACTCCAAAAGTTACAGTAGAACCCCAATAATTTGCAGCAATGCTCTAGAAACCCTTTACAAATTACAATTTTGAAAACAGTGAAGAAGCAGGCAACAAAAGCAAGGATTTCACATCACAAAAAGTACTTTGTTAATTTATTTTGACAACTGCAATTTAGTTTTCAATACTCCTTCTACCTCCTAGTATACTAATAGAGATGCTGTAGTATACTTGGGTGAAGCAGTACAGTATTATTGTGTGAGACCTTGCTACAGTACTTTTTAGACCATTGCAGAGAGGTGGGAAAGGACTACGAGGGGTGGAGAAACCTGTCAGATGCTCTGTTTAGAGGTCAGCGAATTAGCAAGATTTTACTGTACTTCTCAATTAACAATGAAAAGCTCCCATCATCCAAAAAAACCAACAAGTACAATATAAAAATAATACAAGTGTTATTTCACATGAATACTTTCTTGTCCTATTTTTTTCTTGAAACACAATTTTCCTAAAGACAACACTAGGAGACACAAGATCATAAACATGGTTCTTTTATCATCCAATTTAAATTGTTTATGCTGTTATTTGTAAACCAACATACAGTAATACACATGGTTAATCCTTCTCCGCAAAGCCTGTCATTTATGATTAATTCATTCTCAAATCAAATGAAGAAAATGTAAATGCCTATTAGTATACCATTACAAGCTGATTCCTTCATTGTCTGTTATATTAATGGCAAAACATATCAAAAGATTCATGCTAAAAGGGACACTGTCAAGTAATTTAGGACCAAAATATGGCCTATTAATAAGTGCATGTGTGTGTATATATATATATATGTATTTTGTATATATATATATATATGTAGAGAAAGAGAGAGCTTGGTAGTAAATGTCATCAATTTCTTCTTTTTCAAAATTATCACTGCGCTATCACTAGTAGATATCCCCAAAAATTCCACCTTACACACACACACATATCTGGTGCTCACATAACTTTGGGTAGGAATGGCTGCTGTTAGCTCAGGGGAATCTCCAGGCTCACCCCAGCCTTATACTGACAGCACAAGAACAGAACAGACAACCAAAGCTGCTTTTTTCCACACATACAAAGAAAACTAACAAAAATGACCAGATCAACATGAAGAGTGTGCATCTGCAGCAGATTAAAAACAGCGAAACGTGAGCAGTGAAAAACGTTATTAAATAATGCCATTATTAAACAAGCATGAGCTTTTTACAGAGCTAAACCTCCCAGAACTGCATAAACACTTATTCCAGGATAGAAGGGGATGTACTCAGGAAATCACAGCAGTACATTTGGCTAACTCCTCCAGTGCAGAAAGCTTCAAGCATCAGCAGATCAACTGCTCACACCACTGCATTAATTGTACATGTGGAAGAACCCTACAAGACAGTCCCTGTGGCTTAGGGGACTTGCAGCCTGTCCTAAGGCACAGAGTGCAGCTGGAATGGCTCAGCAGCAGGCCAGGGAATGAGCTGGGATGGAAGGAACAGCAGTTCCTCTGGGGATCCCCCCCTGGCTGCAGGGAAGAGCAGGCTCCTTCAGTCTGTGCAGCAGCCTGCTCCTCACACACCCTCGGAGAGATGCCCAAGTGTGACAGTGGCACGGCACAGCCACTCCCTCCGAGTCCTCCATCACATTCGCACACCAGAGTGTCAATGCAGCAACTTTTTATAAATAAAGCTGAGTCAGTCCCCTTAGGGAGAAGGAGTCTTCATTCCTCTTACCTCCCTGTGGGCCCACAGCAGTGCAGTAACACAGTAATAACCCAGCCTTTTTTTTTTCTTTTTTTTTTCTCTTTTGTTCCTTGCTATATTTAACAAATAGTACAATTGCCATCTCCTTGCAACATGAGGGCATAGGAACAAAAGTGCCAACACTGTATTATTCAGGCACCACAAGCTAGGATGTCATGGAAATGGACACTGAACACAAAGTATGCCTTACAAGAGGTGGTTTCCTGGGATATAGGGACCCTTTATGTTATTTCTGTGCAACACACAATGGAAAGTCAAAAAACCAAACTGACCATAAAGGAAAAAAAAAACAGAGAGACCACGAATCAGTTTAAAAATATTCTTTCAAAGAAATTTCTTTACATGTATCATTAATAATCCATAAGGAATTTACTCTTCTCCCTTGATGCCCACTCTTTTCAAGTCGTGGCCAAATATTCAGACAAAATTACTGGTAAGTCATAGCATGCTGAAATGCCTTACTGTATTACACACAGGGTCAACAAATCAAAAGAGCCTGCTTTCTTATACAAAAGCATTAAGAAATTCGTTTGTATAAATTGTATTCTTGCCAACAGAAGAAGCAGGCTATGGATAATCAATGCCCTTTCTCCCTCAACTGTACCAAGTGAAGTTAGTGCTGTAGTAGTGCTCCCATAAGGGAAAAGACAAAGTGGGATCAGTTTCCTGGTAACGAAAATTCAGAAAAATATTGCTACTGCTTTGGTAAGAGGTGGGAACTGTTCTGGGTCCTGCTCAAGTCCCTTCTTAAAAGACAGGATATATTTTAGCCCCTTGAGATGCAGCCTTTTCTCCTACCTGATGGCTTTATCTGAGAGATACTAGCTAGCAACAGTGCTGTAAAAACCTGGATGAAATCCTATTTTAAAAACCACCATACACACACCTACCTATATGTGTATGTGTGTGTATGTGTGTGTGTGTGTGTGTGTGTTTTTCCCTGGTTAATCAGCCTACATGAGGCTTAAACTGCCTTGAACTACCAGACAGTGTCCCTTTAGGGAAGGTGCAAATAGAATGAACATACAGTTCAAAAATCTGAAACTTGTTAACTTAAACTACACAATAGTTAGGCTACTCAAAATCTTACCACCTTAAAAATGCACACAGAACTACTTATCGTACCATACTGTATACTTCAAGACAAAGTACTATTCAAAAAAACATATTCATGGTACAGGGATAAACTTTGCAGTTTATTTATACTGTGAAATGCAATGAAAACTTCTGATCACTCTCCTAGGCTGGAAAAAGAAATCCCATTCACTAGCATCATTCACCAGTTTGGGTTTGTCAAATTGTAGTGACTTTTACTAAGCAAACACTAAAAAATAGGGAATTTGAATGCCCACTTCTTCAGCTTTCAGGGATACTTCAATAAAATTAATAATTGGAATTGTCAAAATTCTAGACAGAGAATTAAAACAGTTTTTACAGAAGCTAAAAATACCCAATCTCAAGTATATGGAAAAGAATTACTGGAGCTGCTGTATGAGATGAAAATGATGAAACCGTATCAAACCTAAACATCTAAAAATGGTTTTATTTTTTGAGAAATCAAAAACTATAAAGTTGGCTAAGTGCTCTATGTTAATCGTTATGAGTATGTAGGGTAAGGTACAATTAAGCTTTTAAACCTTGGAATACACTGTTTGTGTAAGCATTTTGCAATTGGGAATGTCATCTACAGAGTATTTTAACTAAAACTTCAAAATCTTGGTTTCTGCATATGAAAAAGTCATTAAAAAGTTACATCTAGATTCAGCTGTACAAAGAAATACACATTACTTCTGGAATGAAGTAAAGGCTTTAGCAGTTAGGCATTTTGCTTAAAAAAGTGTTTAAAGTATTTTAAATTAATTAGACTTTTAAATAGTAGAGTTAGTCTATCAGAATTCACTTTCTTTCCCTCCAAACATAACTCAAGGTAATGCAAAGCAGAAATAAAGGGCACATGGTCTAAAATTATTTTTGAGAGAGACTGAAAATTTTTCTAGAAAATGCTTTCTTTCAAAGCGTATTTGTTTGACTTCCAAAACTTACTTGTTTATTCTGTGTGTTTAGTACATGTTGATTCCCTGCTGAAGAGCAACAACTATGCTGACAAGCTTAGAAATGACATTGTGAATAGTATCAGACAAAAAACTGTCCTCCCAAAGCATAAAAGGAAACCAGCAAGGAAACAATCATGGGGGAAAGTCTTACCTGGGGATTTTGTTTATTTTAAAATTTCATAGAAGGTAAAATATTTTCTGGATTCAAACAAGTGAATAATAAACTGCCTTTGATAGGGGCACCAACATCAGGCAGTTCAATGACTGATGGCTAACAAACAAATTTTTTTTTAAAAAAAGAAAAAAGAAAAAAGAAGCAGTTATTGGTCTTGCTAATATCAGCTTACTTCTGTTTTAACATAGCGCTCTTAAAAGCTGTACAGAACTCCATCTTATACAGAGCAACCCCCTTTTGACAAATGTGTTCTAAAGTGCCAGTATTATTTACAAAGATTTCTTAGCCAAAAGTCTGGCCCGTCGTGGCATCAGGTGAAGAAGTCATCCCAGCTCTGCTATCATTTACATTCACCAAGGGAAATTCTGGGAAATCAGCACTTGTCCCTGGTCCCCGAAGGTTCACCTGTCCATTGGCAGTGCTAAACTGAGAGGATATTCCAGCTCTTGCCCCATGGTACTGAGCTCTAAAGGGCTGCTCAAAGGAGCTAATTTGATATGCTTGATGAACAGACTGTGCCTCTGCTTTCTTCTGAGAAGTTACTTGATCCAAGAAGTCCTGTGTAGAGGAGGAAGAAGAATGATTTGCCTCATCACCTGAAAAGGGAAAAGGGTGCTGAGAATCACCAACCATTAGTCCAAAGTGAGACTTGTCTGGAGTTGTTCTTAATGGAGAGTTCATCCCCGACCGAAAGCTATTGACGGGTATAGATGTGTAGACCTTCTCCATGGAAGGAAATGCTGGCTGGGTTGTAAGTGTCTGGTTATCAGTCACAAAATTAAGGCTCGGGTTGTTCAAATAGGCATCATTTTGGCTAGTTCTGTCCAAAGCTTGCTGTAAAAACTTTGAATATTCTTGTAACATACTAGCTTTATCTGATGAGGAAGCTTGAGAGCTTGTTCCAACCGTCTCAGATGGGGTCACCTCAGATACTTCAGCGGAATTGATGGATATACTAGAGGTCACTTCTGTGTCAGCCACACTGAAAGAGATCTCATGCTGTCCATTAGCCTTGTGTGAATAATGATCTAACAGAGTTTGCAGTACCTCATCTGGAATGACATTTTTGTCATGGTTACCTTTAATTTCAACATTCAGTGCCTGTGTGTCCAGTATTGAGGCTGTAGCAGTTTCATCAATGACACTGGCCACAGCTGCCTGCGTTACTGAAGGTTGAGATGCTATGGTACTTACATTCAAGGCATATTCTCGACTGTTGTTACTAGCTGCTTGTAGATACCTCTTTTTCTTCAAAAACTGCATTGCATCATCATAATTAGTGCTGCTGTGTACAGGTTTACTGGGCCCTTCCTGTAATGTGTCGACTTGATCAATGTCAGCATTACCTTCAGAGTCCAGTAAACTTTGCTTATCCACAAGATCGAAGGCGTACTTCGAAACCTTGCTGTCTTCATATGTAGATAAAGGTGAAATGGTTTGACTTTGCTCAAGTGGCTGCTTTAGACTCCTCTTGTTGACCTTTTTGAGAACCAGCTTCGGTGGGTGTATTTCTCCAGAATTGGCTTCCTCTAAGTGCGACCCACCGACTGAAGAATGTGGCATCTCAACAGCATATTCCGCTACCATGTATTCATCTTTTACTTTAGTACTAGAAGAGTACAAAGGCAAATAGTCATTTTTGTCCTTCTTGTGTTCTGATTTATCTGAACTTTCCTTATCCCCAGATTTTGATTTCTCTGTTTTCTGCCTTTTCTTCTTTGGCAAGGAGCTGTCTTTCAGAGGCGTGGAGAAACCGGAATCTTCCTCCGATGGCAAAAAGCCAACTTTGGTGGCACTTCTGTTGGGTTTCTTCTCACGGTTCTCATGGCACATACGTTTGTGTTTCAGCACACGATCGGTCCTGGAGAAATACTGGAAAAGATTATGATGGTGATGATTATTATTATTATTATATTATATTGCAAAAAGAAATATGTTATCAGAAAGAAAAGAAGCCTTTCATTCTAACAAATTTACTTGATGATTCACCCACTTGACCAATTTCTAATGAAGTGTCAAACAAGAGTATACAGTCAATAAAATCAACCACTGCCAGCTGTGACTCTGCACCACCAAGACAGCCCATCTTGACTGAAAAAACATTCATTATATATTTATTTGTATGAAATGGAGAAAGCTCATCTGCAATACTGGGGAAGTGACTGGTGTTTTGGCTTTCAAGTACAGAAGATTTCACCAAGTCATCTTACCTGCAAACAATATTCACACTGGTAAGGCTTCTCTCCACTGTGAGTTCTTTTGTGCCTTTCCATGTGATACTTCTGAATAAACCTCATACCACATTCATCACAACGAAATGGCTTTTCACCTGATAAAAAACACATAGCAATATTAATCTAAAAGAATAAATTAACATTTTTCCATAAAATTACCAGATCAAATACTACATTCTCTATTAGAAACAGTAAGAGGATTTAGTCTATTGCTATTGAAAAACAACAAAATGCTTGCTTATATCACTATTTTCTCAATACTGAGTTGCTGATGCCTCAAATTACTTTAAGCTTTTATGCTAAAAAAATCCCCCACCTTTAAAACAAAATCCTTACTCCTCTTTCTAATGCAGGTGCTGGTATGTGTTACACCTAACAAATTAAGAACTGCAAAGATGGTCTTCCTGAATTGTTGCTACAGTATGCATTTTTTAGGGCAGACAACTGTATAAAAATACCTCAAACTTCTCACCAAATCATTACCTCAAACCCATCCCTACTAGGAGAGAATTAATGCATTTCCAAACTTCAAATATAACATTTTAGAGGGTGCTTTCTATTTTTCCATATTTTTTCCCTTATTTGCATGTGGAATTGAGAGAACTGCTTTGAAAAAGTCCCACTATTTTGGTTGAAACCCAATTTTTTTTTTTCTAAGAACTAATTTTAATTTTTTTTTTTTTTAATTAAGTCAAAACCCAAGAAACCTCTGTAGCAGAACCAGCATCTGCAAACTTACAGGTTTCTCATTTTGATTGTTTTGTTAGCTAGTTTTGGTTTCTGGGTTCTTTCTTTACTTTCAGGAAATACTTGTTCAGACAATATGCACTGCCCTGAATTCATCTTCAGTTCCCCTTATTTCTCCTCACAGAGAAACCCTGCAACAATACTTTCTGAGCAGGGAGTAACTATTTTTATTTCTTTTAACTTTTGCCTTACATCTTCCCTCTGATATTTTTTCCTAGGTTTCTCTGAAAAAACCTAAAAATTTCAAATGCATTGAAAAGTTACTTCTGCTTTTATAGAAGTTCACTATTATTTACTAGAACTCACCCTGAACAACAGAGATCTCTCCTTTTAGTATTTACTATGAAATCTTTTGGACTGACATGGAGGTCAGGGATTGTCTTGGCAGCATCTGTCAAGAGCCTCTTTGTTCTGGGTACTGCACTGCACTGATTTTTGGGATATGAACCATTTATGTCTTCTTGTTTCCAGAAATATGCAGACTATTGCTATTTTCTGAAGTAGTTTTATTCTTACCAATTATATTATGAACTGCAGAATTACCAACAACTAATTGTTAAAGTTTAAAACTTTAAATTAATAGATTTTATTATTTAAAATGTTGACAGAGTTTGTATTTTCCATTTAGAGAAATGTTTGTATTTTCCATTTCCAACAGAGAAATTTATCCACATCCTTCTTCAAATGGGAATACAGTACCTGAAAATAAGGTTCCAGTATTTATAGAGAACAGAATGGAAAATATCTGTATCACACACATATGTGCTCCTAGTCAGATCACTAATGCCCAGAGCTTCAACTTCCTTAATTCCAAGCAATTTCTAAATCTCTCTCTTTGTAAGCCTATGTCCTATTTCAAATTATTATTTCCTACCTCTCCATGTGGCTTCTCAGCCAATCCCTTTCTCAGATGAAATTATTCCAATTTATTCTCTCCTAAATCAAATTATCTCCTCTCCTCAGATCTCTCAACTTCCATCAGTTCTTTTTCTACAGGCTCACAACCCCAGCATTCTACATCTCTTCTTTCACTTGACTTAGAGAACTTTATAATTTCTTGCTTATTAATAAGCACCATAAAATTTTGCACTTTTTTCAACATCCCTTGTAAGTTATAAACACTTATTATATCATTCCCCCTCATCCTGCCTATAAGCAAATCCTCCCCTCTGGCCTATTTCTTCACTGTCAAACTCCAGGTTCATTCTTCATGTTCTCTTTATTTGTGAGGCACCCTCAAAACTACGGTGCCTTACTCCCAACAAGCCTGTTCAGACTTTCTGAATCAAATTCCAACCCCTGCCTTCCACTTTCAGGATGCTGAGGCAGGACATTTAGACCTCATTGCTCTTGTTTGATACATGGGAATCTTCCATTCCTGAAGACTACTACTTAGTCCTTTCTACTTACTGTTTTCTTTCCCTTTGCTCCACTATTCTGCTTTGTGGTTTTTTACTCTCCTTACATTGTTTCAAAGCTTGCTTTCATACTACCTTAGATTTATTTTAGAGAATGGAGTGGCTGTTTAGGCAGAAAACTATCCTGAGCCTCAAAGCAAGAGAGCTGAGTCCTATTCTGGCCTGGAACAGCCCTCTAAGGAGCCATCCTGCAATCCCAGGAAATGCACAACTCTTCATTAACACACTTACCTGCAGCCTTACACTCATTTCTGTAAGTGAATGCACACTGAGTTCCTTAACATTTTCCTACTCAAGCTGACTACTTGCTGGCAGAAGCCTCTGCAGCTACCTATCCCCATTTGAAGGCTTAAACAGGGGCCTGTGGATTTTAGGTGGATTACAGTCACCAGCTATTTTGGAGACTTTCAGGGCACACACAAATGCACTGCTGGCCATGCCTTAACAGGGAGAAGAATCTGGGGACACTGCCCTGGAGTTAACTCAGCACAGTACAGAAAATCATATTTTTCAGTAGAATTCCAGAACACTCTGAAAGTAAGATTAAGAAAACCTTTGTGAAACTGACACCATATTTAATTTTGGCTTTAATCTTCATATGGAAGATAATTTTAGGAAAAGATTAAAAATTAATATGAAGATAGGCTTCCAATAATAATTTCATCCTAGCAGAAGCCTAAACCTTCAGATGCCTTCCCCAATTTTGTTGTACTTTTCAGACAGGATCTATTGCAAATGGAGGAGAACATTAATAACAGCCTTTTGATAATGCAGGGAGAATCCAGGGCACATTTTTCTGAAATGTCTTGGTCATTGGGAAAGAATCAGATGTATTAAAAACCCTCAAAATTTAAAAATACAATACAACAATTAATGCATTGTTTATGAAAACAGCTCATGTGTTGTGTCTATGTTTGCAATCTATTAAAACCAAGCAATAGAACTACTTATCCAATGTAGTACAAATATTATGTGTATGAAGGCTGTAACAATTATAAAGCCAGGCATTTTAAAGTCTAAACAGACAAAAAACAAATTATAAAATACTAAAGAAGGCTATAAAAAAGCAGCATGACTGAATAAGAAGGCACTTGAATTGTTAGCCCCAATGGTGTTTTATATTTTTAATGTAATCTTAGTTTTTGTGTTTAAAATGGAAAGTAGGGTGGCTTACACAATTAGGACACATGAACACATGAGTGGGTAAGGTATATAGAAACATCTCTAAGCAAAAAGTAAGCAGACATATTTGAAAGAAAAAAAAGAACATTCAGCATCTTCTCTAACCTCGTAAATGGAAAATATTTGCATACCAGTGACTTTTCCCTCTCTTACAACTAAAATAGCAATTTTCTGTATCATAAGGGACAAGTTTAGCAGCAGGGTTCCAGCACTGCTGCCCTCCTCTACACACAATTATAAGCAAATTTTGTATTAATGCAATGTCTGCTTTTAGATGCAACTGTTTAATTATTTACACAGACTAAGGCTGTTCATTGATTGCTTCCTAACTCCCTCACAACACTTCCTTTGAAGGAGTGGTTCAGAGAATTAAAGTCAAATCAGACTGGAAATAGCTGAGGCACCTGTAAATTGGGGGCTTGTAACAGGCACAAAATGGGGCTTCTACCTGTTACTACTCTCTTTGACTGGTTTAAAATAAACTAGAAAATTTGATGAAAATCTTTAAAAGAGTAAGAGCTTTCCTGTTCCACATCAGCATTTTGAACACTGTCCAAAAGCTGGTGCTAAAAGTGGTCATTCATGGAGATAAAAATGCAAAATAAAAAAGTATTCAATAAAGTTAAGAAACATTTTTTTTAAAGGGTATGAATAATACAAACAGATCTTTACTTTCATCAAAGTAAAACACAGACCCACTGCTCACCTTCTCATTAGAGAATCAGGTTGAAAATTTAGTTTTTCTGGATGGGTTTAGTTATGCAGCCCTGAACAACAGAGGGACTACACAAACAGCTGAGGGCCAGTGGTGAACGCTGTCATATAGAGGTGAAAGCACAGACAGGTATGCAGAGTGCCAATTAGCTATACTATAACTGGGTGAAGCCAAAAATTAAACTCTAGTTTAATCTTGTTAACTAAACAGCCTTCAGAAAAAATTCTGCCACTCCTGGAAGCTGGGTTTTAAATGTTTTCTCCTAATCATTACTAGCTGACACCTAGGAAAACATCCATGATTCAACAATTTAAATACAATTTAAACCATCTTCTGTTTTCTGAGAAACAACCAAACTATAGCTCAGGATGCTGAAGAAAGGAGGAAACACAGTTATCTAAAAAAAGTCAGATATGGTTAATTAGTTAAATGGTACCTTTTTCTCTGCTAAACAAAGACTAGCATATGTAAGAGCTGGCATAAAAACCTACAATCCCACCACATCCACCCCCCTCCCTCCAAAACTTACAATCAACACAGATTTCTCACTAGGGCAAGAAGCTAAATTTTAAAAGATAATTAAATCAATTTATAAAATATTTGCAGTCAAGTGTTAATTAACTACATTGCCCAGACTCTCATTTTCAAAGCCACGTACAGGGAATAATCCTCATTTGAAAAAAAAAAAAAAGAAAAATCTTCTAAAAAATGTGAAGACTGCACTCAAATTTTTGCCTTTTTGAGGGGGGCTGGAGGGCAGATAGATGGAAGAGACTGAATGAGCATTCTTTACAGAATAAATATCTACACAAAGTGGAGGCAGCATGGTTCACCAATTCAGAGCCAGAGGAAAGACTAGGAGCAGAACAAAGACACTGGACAGAAGAATGGAAGACTCTTCTGTGGCTGACTGGCTGAAGGAAACCTACTTAGTCTGGACTCATGGCAACCTAGGATACAAAAATCCCATAAACAACAGGGCATTTGTGCATGTAACTCCCTGTACACTGCTCTGAAAATTCATTTTGCAGAGTTTTTTCTCCCTCTCAACCCTTACACATGCACACACTGCACTGCATGTTAGTAGCTTTCATATCCATTTAAATGCTACAGCCAAGAAACACTGTGCACATTCACCAGCTCTGCTTTTCTGAAAAAGAGGCTGAGAAATTGGCATCTAGTCCAAAAGGGACCATATTACAAAATATTTAAAGAGGGATTGAAAGGCCATGCACCAAAATGCCAAAAACCCAATGAAACCAAACCTGTTAAAGAATGTGGTTCTGTGTGGTGCAACAAGGTAAAAAAATAAACATATATAAACTTTAACTTGCTTTGGTTTAAAGCTTCGGGCCTTATTTGACCTACACTGCATATTTTTAAACTAAGACTCTTCTTTTTAGAACAGTTCTGAATTAAACCTAAAAGAAGAAAAAAAAGTGAAAAGAAAAGCTGATACTAATACCTTTGGGGTTAGGCATTTTGGCCATTTTAGTCCTGGCACTTTTCCATCAAATTCAAATACAAACAAACAGACAAACAAACAAATAAATCTATGGAAATGTAATTCGCAAGTCCCCCTTGTCTGAATTAACTTGATACAACAAAAGACAGAACTGCTTAACGAACTTTGACTTTTATGAATGTACAAACTTCAGGATTTGCTGCTCTGGGGTTATTTATAGAAAACTACTTTCAGATCCGCTTACTGGACTTCATACTCATTTTACAGCCAAAGGAAAGTGGAACAACTTGAAAGCACAAAACTAATTTCTTTGTAAAAGCTTTATAACTTTGTAACATGTTTTAAATTAAAACAAACTACGACAGGGTTTTTGGCTGCATATTTATTACCAGAAACCTTGCCTGAGTGGGGAAACAGTTTTTAAGCACGCCAGTAAAGATACTCAAGGCACTATACTCACCAGTATGAATCTTCTCATGCCTCTGTAGCAGGTACTTCTGTATGAAACGCATGTCGCACTGACTGCACTGAAATGGTTTTTCACCTTGAACAATATAATTCCACATCCATAAGTTAATAACTACACACTGTTGTTTCTGATAACTATTTTTGAGGAATATTAAAATGTCTATTAAAAACACCAGCATCTGAGCGAATTCCAAAAATACCCTGACACCAAAAAACATTTGCCTTACTAGGTACATGAACTGCAGAGCTCTCTCCATGATCCTAAGAGTCACATTAAGACTAGCACGGAAGAGTGATCTGGAATGGCTGTAATTTCCTCAAGTGCAAGATCAATCAGGATGCTGGCATAGACTGCATTCAGGATACTGGCAAGCTATTATAACAGTAAGTACCTTTGTCACTTCTCCAAACACAGAGATACCTCATCAGGCAAATAAGCAGCCACAGCACATTTTACAAAGGGGTCAATTTTTGGCACTTAGGCTACAAGTCAACCCATTACTTTCTGATAAAGGAAGAAAAGAAACCTTGTAAACAGTTAGCTCTTCAGTTTATTAAATTTATGTTGATTTTTTTTTTCTGATATTCTTTTGACACTTTGGTGCATGGAATCTCTAAGCTTAGATGCCAAGTTAGCTACACTCTTAAAACTGAAATTCGCATAGAGCTGAAAACATTTTTAACATAAGTAAACAACTCTTTATATAGTAGAAAAGACAAATTTGAAGTCAAGCAGTACCTGTATGAATGAAGACATGTCTCTGTAAATGGTAGTTGGTTCTAAAGGCAGCATTGCAATGCTCACAAACATGAGATTTGTGGGTTTTCAGACCAAGTGATCCATCCTCATTTATTGTAAGGATCTATTTTAAAAAGAGTAAAATTTGTTCTCACACTACCCTCTAAAGATGTCTTATTAACTACAAAAAAAAAAAAACATTAATTTTTTCGATGCAGAAAATGTAAATATTTCAGGTAAAACAATGCTAATTTCTACAAAACTATGCGTTAAGCTTCTAATACACATTTCCAATTGCAGTCCAATCCAACTCGTGTCTCGTTGTGCATTAAGAGATATTTCAACAGGACAGAGACAAAGGCAGCTCATGGAAAATCAGCTTAGAGCTTCCCTAGGCACAGCTGAGTCACTTTATACACTACTGTTTATTTTGTCCGTCTGTTGGAAAGGATGCAAAGTAATCAAACCACTCCTGGGCACTAAACCATGGACAATCGTATTTTAAAGAAAAAGTGAATGGTTAAATTCTTTATATCAAATCACAACTCTAAATGTTTGCTAAAAGTCATTAAAGCTTAGCCAGAATAGTCATATATATTATCTACATCTATATAAAAGCAGTAGTCTCAAAGGTAAAACTTTGGTATTTATAAAAACAAAATCCCAAAGCCAAACAACCAAGAGAACAGTATTATTCTTCTCCCCTTTCAGGTTTTTCACTCAATAAAGTATTGCTCACTTAACATACATAATAAAGCATCTCCTTGATGACTTCAACTTGCCATACTCAATTGCTTTGCTGTCAAACAAAGCCGCTATTTTCATATAAAATTTTAAAAACTTAAATTTTAAAAATGCACCACATCTACTTTATTCAATAAAGCTAATCACAGGTTTTCTCTAATTCGTCAAAAAGAATAAAAATAGAAAACTAAACCAAAACCCAAAATCTCTACTATCTCTGGCAAGAGAATAAGCAAATCAGTAAACAAATTACATTTATAAAATCTTGCTTAACTGCAAACACAACTATAAAGAAGAGCTTAAGGAACCTTAAATAATACAGTTTAGTCCCTTGTTATTAAAAAAAAATAAAAGTATGCTGGGAAAACACATCTGCAGTTTGATTAGCTACAGCGTTTTAGGTTTTATGATAATGACAGTGATGAGAAAGAGAGAGTCAATAACTGAAACAGTATCTCTGAAATAGCAGCAAATACTGTAGGATCTACTTAATTTTTAATTCTCCTGTGTCAAAACAAGGGTGGAAGTCTCAGACTAACAAATTCTTGTGCATTCACTCTGAAGGACAAGCACATTCATACGTTTGTAAGATTGGTGTGTTACAGCTCCAGTCACAGAGAGAGACAACTGTAAAGACTCTGTTCTGTAACATTACTCAGCTGATGAAGCCGACTGCGTCTTTAAAACAAATTTAAATACATGTTATGAAATGCTTTTCATATATTATATTGAAATTTTAAAATAATTGTGCAGAAAATACACTTAATTTCATGGTTATCCTAAACCTGGGCTCTCCTACTTAATCTACCACCTGTCAAATAATGAGAGTTAGCTTTGTCAGAGCAGCTTCCCTAACCAAAGCAACAAAAAAGCTTGTGCGTGTGAGTGTGTGCGCGTGCGTGTGTGTCCGTGTGTGCACGTGTGTGTGTCTGCGTGGCAGAAGGAACAGGACACAGGAGTCATGACACCTGATGGCTTCCTCCTTACCTGACCACTGCATTGATAGAAAACAGAATTTAGAACGTTTCAGAATGTTAACTGACTTCCATTTGTCAGAGTTCCAGCTGCTTGTTTGGATGGAAAATCAACCCCACTACTCTGGAAATACTGAAACTGCAGTAGGTTCTCACCTAGGTCAGTCCTTCAGCTTTTTTCTACTCTGCCTTTCTACTCTGACAGGTCTGAAAAAGGGGAAGAGAGACTGAAAAAGAACCTGTTTAACAATTCTCCTGATCATTTTTCAATCTTTTGTCATCTCAAAAGACTAATCCTGGCAGACTGGGAGATAAAAAGGAAGCATGCAAGTACACGTCTGTAGAAAGAGGGGCACACGCCTCTTCTACCTTGCCATGTTTCCATGGAAGTGATCTCTGGATGTACTCAACCTAGATCTCCTTCTTCTCTCAAAGGGAGAAGTGAGAAAAAAATGCACAGCATTTGGAACTTGCTTCCACACCCAATCTGAAGCAATTTCTCAGCTTTCCAAGAATACTATAGGTGCAACCTTATTTGACAGTGCTTTGAGGAGGACTGGAAGGTCCTGCTCCCAGGGCAACAAAAAGGAGGTTTGGGAGATTTTCTTTGTATTACAGTGAGTTTTCATTTAATGTACAAACAGTCTGGGTTGATTTCTGAGTGGGTTTATTTTAATGCTGCTGTGTGATAACATATAACTGATTTACTTCTATCAGAGCAGCCTGCATATGTTCTATTTTAAGTCTGAAGATTAATACTGATTTGGGGAATTACTAGAAGATGTTACACTGCTACCTCATGAGGTGAAATGATTCTGGTTTTATCTGAAGTGCCTCTCAACAGAAGAAAACTGTTTTCAGACATACAGGGATACATAGTCCTCATGAATGGATCTACAAAACAAATTTTTAAGTAACAAACCAGCAGCTAGGGTAAGAACCTTTTGATATAAATAAATACATATATGAAGATGATTATGACCACAGGAATTTTCCCTACCAGTAAATTATTTTATATATATTAGTAAGCTTTTTAGAATTTTCAAAACTACCATTTTAGTTTTCTTTTTAAAAACTTTTCACTACTATGCATGAAGCATATAGAATTATCAGGCTCACAGAAAAGCACAACTATTATTAGATAGATACAGAGTAATGATTTATAAATGGTCTACAAAGCTACTGACTCATAATTTAAAAAAATATTTGGAGAGAGAACTGCCTGGAGAGACAGATGTTAAAATATGTCAAGAGTTCATGTTGCTAAAAGGAGTTCAAAGAAAAACACTGTTATATCAGTTTTGTTTTGGGTCTCTGGTGAACTTCAGAACTGCATCTTTACTGAGCAAACAAACAATTTCCAGCCTAACTAGTTCAAATGCTAATGAAATTAGTCATAGTCAACCAAATCTTCAGGTCCTTTTAATCTTGGTTTTGCCAAATCAATGTCTTACTTTTGCTGGTGAACGCTGTTTTCTTTTCTTCTTTTTCTGCAAATCTACTGGCTCTCGTATTTGTTTTTTGTCTCGTTTCTGTTGTTCAGATGCATCAGTAAAGGTAATTTCTTGCTTTACACTGATCTGTTAAGATACCAAGTGCCAGTTTCAGGTAAGGTTCTCACTACAGAAAAGCAATTTTTCAATTTTAGAAGATGACAAACTGCTGAAACAGAAAACCTTTTCCTAGGGGAATTATCTTCTGGCTTCACTCTTTCAGAAATTTAAGTGAAAGAATTAATATGTATCTTAAATAAAAAGGGCACAGTTAATTTCCTCAGTAACATTTTGATGTATCCTTTCATTCATCTCCCAAGGTCTTTTTTCCTGACCTGTAGTGATTTTGAGATCAGTTCATATATTAAAATCACTTCCATCTGTAAAACCATTCAGTTTTTCATACCTAGTTTACTTTAGTCCGTGCTGTTGTCAATATAAGATTTAACGGAATAGTTTATTATATATTTAATACAGAAGTATTTTTAAGAGAAAAAAAAAAAACAAGACCAGTTCCAATGACGTTTTTGAAAAAAAAAATTTAAAAATCTCAATCTAATGTGAACTTTAATGAAGACCATGATACTCTCATATTTTTCTAACACCTGATCTAAGCTAACAGAGTAGTGTTTTAACGGTGCTGTGTTTCTGAAGATTATTCTTCATGTGTAAGGCTCTCTACTTTTATAGTCCTGGTGACTGTTCTTTATGTTTGAAGGGTAACAGTGATGGTGTGCTGCATTACAGACAGATGCTCTGTTTTCCAAAGGAAGTCATCTCTATGCTCTCTGGGAAAGCCAAGGTATGCCTTCTATGAGATTCCGTGGAGGGGCATATTTATGGTCATGTATGAAGTGTCACAGTCCAACCTGCAGTGTGAATGCAATTGCTAAGCGTCCACATACCTTAAAAACATACAAGATGCTTCCTATAGCAAAAGCAACTAAACAGTACTATGAACAGCATAAACAGTATGCACCTTCTAATAACGCTATTTATTCCGCTTTGCAGTTACCCCTGAACATTAAATATCCTTAAAGGAGCACATTTTAACACTTTAGTTCTATGGCAACAGCCTGCTTATAAAATATTTATAAAACAGATACTTAACGATTATACTTAATTGGCAAAATTTATCCACAGCCAGAGGCAAATGACATAAATATTTTGATAATCAAAATCCAAACAAGCAATTAATAGATTCTTGCCAGAGTAGGATTAGACTACCAGATCAAGCTTCCTAGTAATCTCTCCAATATTTCACAAAGAAATTGCTTACAGGGACATTAACAGCATACTGCAGCCCTTGAGGAAGTCTATCTTGTGCATCCATTTCATCATCATTTTTTACCGTCTCCTCATGGACCATGAGTTCATCATGTGAAATCATCTCTTGCTGTCGAAGTTCACTTTCCTGTAACACTTCATCTGTTGCAAGAATTTCTTGGTGCGGCATAGTCCGATCTTGAAGCACTGCCTCTTGCCGTTCTCGCGATACTCCAGACTGGTCAGATACTGCACCCATCCCTACCATAGCCCTGGATGACTGCATCTGGTCTATGCCACCACATTTAAGAAATAATCCTCCCAGCTTGTCTTCAATGTTCATTCTTAAGTGCAATTACCTACAAAGAAAGTTTTAATAGTAAACATCTACAATTGGTGCGCTCGCTTAAAATTTTTTACTTAAAAACATTTTATAAGAACTCAAGTCAGTACTCAACAAACACACATGCAGTCCTAAAATTGATACTGCTTAAGAATCAAGAGTTGGATATCTTCAAAGAATGTCAAAAGACTCTCCTTTTGCACATCTGTGTGCACACAACTGAACACTTTCCAAAAAAAGGTTTCAAATCATGCTCCTGACTTCTGGCAAAAGTATAGTAATTAAATGATGGCTAATTCCTCCTTCTCATTCCTTAGAAAACTTTTAATTTTTTTGTTTGTATGCCCTCTTTGCCCTGTTCTCTTTTTCCATTTTGACTGTCTTTTACAAACACCTCTTTCATACTAGTCCTGTTCTCCCTACTCCTTGTCCTTCCACTGCTGTTACCCCAGGGCACTGTTGCTCCTGGAACATCTCAATATCCACAAGTGAGAGAAAACTGGGCTGCATCCAAAGCAGCAGCTGAGGGAGGTGATTCTGCCCCTCCACTCCACTCTCCTGCGACCCCACCTGCAGGGTTACATCCAGCTCTGGGGCCACAACATAAAAAGGACATGGATATGCTGGAGCAAGTCCAGGGGAGGAAAGGAAAATTATCAAAGGGCTAGAACATCTCTGCTATGCCAACAGGATGAGAGAAAAAGGAGGCTGTGAGGAGAACTGATTGCAGCCTTTCATTACTTAAAAGGGAGCTTTTAAGGTGGAGAAAGAACTTTTTAACAGAGCCTGTTTCAACAGGACAACGGGTAATGGTTGTGAAAGGAGAGATGGTCAATTTAGATGAAATATAAGGAAGAATATTGTTACAATGAGGGTGCTGAAACACTGGCACAAGGTGCCCAGAGAGGTGGTGTATACCCCCTCCAGGAAAACATTCAAGGCCAGGTTGGATGGGGCTGAGCAAACCGATTTAAGTGAAGATGTCCCTGCTCATTGCTGGGGGTTGGACTGGATGGCCTTTAAAGCCTCTTCCAACCCAAACTATTCTGTGATTCTATGAAAATGCAACTTTGTAGCTAAAGATATACATCAAATAAAGACTATAGAGAGGTCAAAGCTGTTCATAAAAGACATTCACAGTGAGCAGGAGCATTAGTGAGGAAATATAAATTCCAAACATGAAAAGCAATACAATTCACAATATTCCATCAAGTATCATGACATGATTAATTAGTTTTCAGCACAGAGCAGGAGGCTTTTGTGAAGCTGGAAGTGGCAGCATCTTCTCATTCTACTAATCAATATATATGCAAGATAGTTCCAGGACTCCTCCTTGGCACACTGGATGTGCAGTCAGAGCAGTCAGTCTCCTTCATCCTATTCCCCAGGCCCATAATCCCTACTACCCACTCCTCAGTGCTCCTTGAGACAGACACACCAACAGACAGAGAGACAGACAGACAGACAGACAGACATCCTTCCTCCATCCCTCTATGTTCCCACAGAGGTAATACACACAGAGGCCACAGCAGACACAGGGGTGGGAGCAGAGGCACAGGGCAGCTGGACAGCACACAGCAGGCCCAGCCACAGCACCACGTGGGACCTTGGGCAGCACCACAACAGCAGCAGCACCCTTGATTTTGATGCACAGAGTTAGGATACAGGTGTGATGTGGGTACATTGCTACACACCAGCTTCAAATTCCAACCCCCTGAGAGTGCAGCATGGAGAAAGGATCCAGCTCCATTCAAGGCTCAAGTCACAGGCTTTGCTGCCTCCCCTGCAGCTCACAATGACTATTCAGAACCAAAGAAATCAGGTCTCTCGACAGGTTATGTCCACAGAAATCGGGTCTCTGCCGAAAACCAGCAGGGCCATCACTGCAGAATTGCACCACAACAGCCCCCTGCCAGTCCAACAGGCTGCCAACATGCAAAAACACTCCACCAAACAAATGTACATGAAGTGTCTAGATTTCCATATTCAGTTTCATCCATTTGATCACTTTCTAAATAAGTTTCTTCTCCAGAGAATATATTTTGAAAACTCTCAGTGTATCTAAACATTTGTGAAGTTTCCTTTATATCAAACTACATCAAGTTTACAAAATAAACAGGTGGTTTCTTTTTGGGTGAGATCCTAGATTACTTGGTAGGAATGGAACCACCAGCTGAAAGAGCTGAAACTCTCATGAGTTTCTCCTGCATTGTCCTTTGTTTCAAATATTACTATTGGTTCTTAAGATTCTGAAAGTAAAATTAACTCAACTTCTTAAAAAAAAAAAAAAAGAAAACAACACAACCTCACCACAGACCACAACAAATAAAGTAAAAAAGCCAATTCACACATCCTGGTGGCAAGTCATGTCTTATAACTCAAAAGTGAAAGAACATTAGTCCCTACTCTGTACCATGAGAGGTTCTAAACTTCCGAATACATCATAGAAAAGCTGACAGCCAGGATGGTCTGACCTCTCTCAGTTTCAAATACTTAAGAAGCACACCAAAGGAAGAGGCTTTTCAGGCAAATACTTTTTTTTTATTTTTAGTAAGCCTTGCTTTGCTGGAAATCAGAAGGACAGAGTCACCAAGCTACATGTCTTTATATATGACAGTGTCATCAATCTTTTTAGCATTCTTCCTTCCTACATAACAAGTCCATTTTAGGGACTAAAACCACTCATGACAGGAGAAGAACATGGAAAAATTCTATTCAGCACATTTATGTTTGTGATTTGTCATTTTTTGTTCTCCTGCAATTCTAACACAATTTTGAAATAATGCTTTCGATTTTCTCAGTATTTGTCTTCAAATACAGACAACAATTTCTTAATGCCTTGAGTGAGCTCAGGTAGTGCTATGTGACAAACTACCTCTCAAATTAATCCATTTACAGTAAGAAAATGAGATGTCTTCAAGGGAAAATGTAGGTCTGATATGCCATACAGCCACTTGCAGACATTATATAATCCATGAAGTATTTTTCAGAAGTAACTGGGAAACCAAACTGATAGTTTCTCAGCAATAACACAAACAAACAAACAAAACCTGGCACAGCACTAAGGCTGTATTCTTCCTACCAATGCAGATCTCCCAGAGGTCTTGCAACAACATAAAGAAGAAAGTGAGGATTAATTTGTCATCTTTTTGGTTTAGAATATCCTGCGCCAAGGGAGAAAGGTGAGATAGAAGTGAAATTCTTAAGATTTGGTAAAAGATGGTGCAAAAGACCTAAAGCTGAGACTTGTTCTTTTGGTAGAGCATTCTAAATATCCAGCTTGAAAGACAGACTTCAAGGAAAATAAAACAGATGTATCCACTCATTTCAGCCTTTATCTGAGCTCAATCCAAACTCAGGGTACATCTCACACAGACTGTCATTCACTATGCTTTTGTTCCACACTACAGAAATATGACAGCACCAGGTCAGTGCAGATTCTCCAAAGGAATGACGTGGACAGGTATGAGAATACAAGAACTCAAGATGCTGAAACACATTCAAGGGAGAACAAACAGCATCAAGTGTGAGAACATGGTGGCCCTAATCTGTCTGCTCAGGCCACTGGCAAGAACAGCACAGAAGGCAGTTCCACATGGAGGATGACACTGCCACATCACTCTGAAATTAGGTGGGAATTGCGGAAATCCTGGATTTAAAGCCACTTCCTGGCAGGAAGTTAGGCAGGCTAAGAAGCTGAGTGAACCACACAGAAGAGCCTGCTGCTCTCACCAGCAGAGGCAGGAAGACTCCTGACATGCCAAACCTTGGGACAGCTGGTGAGATACACAGCTTCCCAGAGGACAGGCCAGCTGTGGGCTGATGTTCACGGGTCTGGCTGGCTCCCACAGTCACAACGGATATGGAAAGTTTCTTTCTCACCCTGACTAGCAGGTTTAGCAGAGTCATGCAACTGAGAGCCCTCAAGTTGTCTTCCAGCCATGATCTTGAGTCATATCAGAAGTGGTGCAGTAAGAGCTTATTAATCAGGCTTTCAAACACCTGGCTTTTCAAAGAAAAATAGCAAGAACTTACAGTGTCAAGCTGCATATGAGAAGTGATGAAAAACAATATAAGTTACATGACTTGCAGGTGATGTTTTAAAACAAAGAGGTAATGTTTTAAAACAAAGAACCACAAACAAAAACAGGCTATTAATCCAAGTAAGAAGCATCCCAAATGCAATTAATTCAGTAAAACATTTGTAATTTGTCAAGTGACACCTTTCGGCTCACATAAAAGGAGTCCTATCATTTAAATTGAAGATGAGAAGTGTTCCTGGAAGAATGACAGTGTGATAAAGAAATGTTAGTTAAAAGCATTCAAACAAGAACACTTTACCAACCTGCAAAGATTAAATATATTTTTAAGTGCAAGATGCATTTGTGAAATAAAGATCAACTTACTTAGAGATTATCTCTAGGGAAGCTACAAAAATGCAAAGCACATACACACACACAAGCAAATTTCTTGGCATAAGACATTGTTATCCCTATTGCAGAGATGTTTTTCATGGAATTTCAGAAGGTCTATTAAGCTGCACCAAGTAATATCTTGATTTTTCTTAGAGTATATAGTTCCTCTATAAACTGACAGAAAAAGAGCTGTCAACAAAACCTTTCAAGAATACATTTTGCTTGATAGAGGTTCTCCATGCATTTATTGCAGGCGAAGCATCTCACAAGAGACATCTACAGGCAGAGCTCCCCGGGGAGGAGAGAGAGGAAGGGGAAGGACTGCCCAGAAGAGGTCTCACAGGAGCCTGCCAGCACCTCCTGTTTCCACAGGGTGCTCCCCAGCTGCCTGCAGCACGTCCCCAGCCAGCGACGCACATCGCTTCACTCCGAACCGCTGCTCCGCCAGCGCCTCGGCTGCACTGCACAGCCATTCCTTTCTGCACAGCCATTCCTTTCTGCACACCCATTCCTTTCTGCACAGCCATTCCTTTCTGCAGCCCTGACATCAGCTTTCCAAACACTTCTGCTCTGAGCTGGAGAGCTGAGCAGTAAAGACAAT